TCAGCAAATTCTTAGCACCAGATTCCGTGAAGATTGGTATCCATGAAGACAAAGCCCTGACCCATGTGTTCAGTACTGCCTTTGAGAGACCCGACGGAGGGATTGTCGTCATTGTCTTCAATCAATCTGAAGACACTTTGGATTTCACTATTAAAGAGGGAAACAATCACTTGACTCATACCGTCAAACCTCATGCCATTCAGACGTATATCTATTATAATAATTAAATTTTATTTTGATTTTATTGTAAAAACTTACTGAAAAATAAAATAATTTTAATTACCGTAAATTGAATTGAGCTATAAATAACTTTATTTATGTAGTTGTTAATTTGTTTAATTAAGTTAAGTTAAATTATTACACATTTAAAGGTAATTAAATTATTTGTATACAAATTATCAATAAAATTTATTATTTAGTAATTAATACATTAAAATAAATAAATGATTTTTAAGAATAAAAGAGTTTAGTCATTACTTGATATATCAAGGTTCTTTAATCAATTTGTTGTATCTAATTTACAATTGAACAGTGCTGGTAAACAAAATAATTTTATATTATAACTTATTGTTTATTTATTTAAATTATCAGTAACATAGGATTATTAGTAACAAAGAATGTCAAAGAATGTTTAAAAATGTCTCACCCTTCAAAGTATAATGGTCATTTACCACTGGTCAAGTTAAGTTCATGTGTTTTATATTAAAGCACTATTCTATTACTATTACCAGTATTAATATTCGAGTCAGAAATATAATATAAAGCTATAAAATTAGTACTATTAGTGCAAGGTTCATTCCCAAATTAATTCCCAAAACGACTACTTTGTAAACTGTATATCAAATTATTTTATACTCATATTCTAAATTGCTTAATTTGGAATCCATAACTAATTATTTATTATTTTTGATATATATAACTAAATATGCAGTAGTAAAATGAATGATTAAAATAAACTTAATTTTAAAATCCGCTACCTTGTTTCAATATATCCTTAATATCCTTGTTTATACAGTATTCTGCACTCAAAATTTTAAATGAATCCAGATATTTATAACAATTAGTTAATAGTTATTTAACTCCATCTCGGTACACGTGTAACTTTTGCTCTTAATATCAATTTGATGCTCTTATTAATTATTAAATAACATATTATACTGTATATCAATAATAACTTGTTCATAATAGTGATAATAAATATATTAAATATTATAACTAGTTATATAATAAGTTATTAATTAGTCTTGTTGTACTCAACTTCAGATATTTTCATAAGAAATTTATTGAATTAAAGATTCAAGTAGGAATAAAATTATACAAAATATTATCAAGCATAATCAAAAAAAGGGAACTTTTTTTAATCAAATAGCAAACTAATCCTAGTTAAGAAAGTGGATCTCATTTATCTCAATGTGTTTTATCACATGAATTATTTTCACAATGAAAATAAACAGTATATAAAGAATATAAATTGTGAATTGTTTTGTTTTCTTTAAATAGAAGTTATGAACATATTTTAACTTTTGATTTATAATAATTCAAAAAAAAATTATTATGAAGTATCTCATAGCAATAGTTTTGCTAAACTTTCTCGTAACAGGTAAATAATTATTATAAGACTTATTTTAATATAAGTTATATTTATGGATATATAGAATACTAGTATACTTTATATTGAAGTAAGTACAATAGTAACCACTTTATGTACACTTATATTACAGTCTATTCTCGTACGCCGTGTGCTAAACGAGACTTAGGAAAGGGAAACATAGTGTGTGTCTGTAATGCCACATATTGTGATAATTTGGATCCATTGAAAAAGACTGCAAAAGGTGTGGTCACTGTCTTCGAGACCAATAGAGATGGCGATCGACTCGCGGAAACTCAGTTGAAGTTTGGAAACAAACCGACGATTAATGCGAAAGTGAGTCAAACGGTTACTCTTAATCCGACACAAAAGGCACAGAAAATCATAGGAATCGGGGGTTCGATGACAGACAGCACCGGATTCAACATCAGAGCACTTCCTGAAGCCCTTCAGAACCACTTAATTAAAGACTACTTTTCCAATGAGGGACTCGAATACAACTTAATCAGAGTTCCCATCGGAGGCTCAGACTTCTCAACCCATGCATACAGTTATGATGACAACCATAAGGATGACTTTGAGTTAACACATTTCAATCTCACTGATGATGACCGCAATTATAAGGTTTATTTCTATTTTTTATAAAAAAAAAGTTAAATATATTTAATTATTTTATTTTTAAAGATACCTTACATGAAATCTGCATTAAAAGTGAGTCCCCATAAAATTAAATTCTTTGGGAGTCCGTGGGCAGCCCCTGCCTGGATGAAAAATAATAGTGAACTGGTTCATGGCGGGTACCTNTCCAGCTCGGTACACGTGTAACTTTTGCTCTTAATATCAATTTGATGCTCCTATTAATTATTAAATAACATATTATACTGTATATCAATAATAACTTGTTCATAATAGTGATAATAAATATATTAAATATTATAACTAGTTATGTAATAAGTTATTAATTAGTCTTGTTGCACTCAACTTCAGATCTTTCCATAAGAAATTTATTGAATCAAAGATTCAAATAGGAATAAAATTATACAAATTATTATCAAGCATAATCAAAAATACTGAACTTTTTTTAATCAAATAGCAAACTAATCCTTGTTAAGAAAGTGGGTCTCATTTATCTCAATGTGTTTTATCTCATGAATTACTTTCACAATGAAAATAAACAGTATATAAAGAATATAAATTGTGAATTGTTTTGTTTTCTCTAAATAGAAGTTATGAACATATTTTAACTTTCGATTTATAATAATTCAATATAAATTATTATGAAGTATCTCATAGCTATAGTTTTGCTAAACTTTCTCGTAACAGGTAAATAATTATTATAATACTTATTTTAATATAAGTTATATTTATGGATATATAGAATACTAGTATACTTTATATTGAAGTAAGTACAATAGTAACCACTTTATGTACACTTATATTACAGTCTATTCTCGTACGCCATGTGCTAAACGAGACTTAGGAAAGGGAAACATAGTGTGTGTCTGTAATGCCACATATTGTGATAATTTGGATCCATTGAAAAAGACTGCAAAAGGTGTGGTCACTGTCTTCGAGACCAATAGAGATGGCGATCGACTCGCGGAAACTCAGTTGAAGTTTGGAAACAAACCGACGATTAATGCGAAAGTGAGTCAAACGGTTACTCTTAATCCGACACAAAAGGCACAGAAAATCATAGGAATCGGGGGTTCGATGACAGACAGCACCGGATTCAACATCAGAGCACTTCCTGAAGCCCTTCAGAACCACTTAATTAAAGACTACTTTTCCAATGAGGGACTCGAATACAACTTAATCAGAGTTCCCATCGGAGGCTCAGACTTCTCAACCCATGCATACAGTTATGATGACAACCATAAGGATGACTTTGAGTTAACACATTTCAATCTCACTGATGATGACCGCAATTATAAGGTTTATTTCTATTTTTTATAAAAAAAAGTTAAATATATTTAATTATTTTATTTTTAAAGATACCTTACATGAAATCTGCATTAAAAGTGAGTCCCCATAAAATTAAATTCTTTGGCAGTCCGTGGGCTGCCCCGGCCTGGATGAAAAATAATAGTGAACTGGTTCATGGCGGGTACCTCATTGGAGAGCCGGGTGAAAAATATTATAAGACCTTTGCCAAATATTTCGTTAAGTAAGTATATGCAACATTAATTAGCTTGCCTTTCTTATACTAGAGATAAATTTATAACTTGTTTGGATATCACTGTGTAATTCATGCTAATCTGTTGATATAATTAATATGGAGTTTGTACTGTATTTTCTATTTATTTATTAATATTTATTCATTTAAAATGAATCTTGAAATTTATAAACTATAATATGTTTTTGTTACACATACCGTAGAAAATATTAATAATATCAATAACAATTCTTACATTATACAGATTTCTCGATGCTTATAAATCAAATGGCCTGGATATATGGGGCATTACTATAGAGAATGAGCCCAAAGCCGGCAACACAAAGACTTATAGTTTTAATTGTCTGGGATTTACACCAGAACTTCAACGCGATTTCATTAAGAAAGACCTAGGACCCATTCTGGAGGCCGCAGGTTATGGACCCAATAAACTAGATGTCATGATATTTGATGACCAAAGGGACCAAATCGTCAAATGGGCTAATGTTATACTGACCGACAAGGATGCGGCCAAATATGTGGCCGGGACTGCAGTCCATTGGTATAACAATAAGGACACGAATGTTATGGAATTGGATAAAACCCATGCCATCGACCCCTCCAAGTATATCATAAACACAGAGTCGAGTAACTGTTGTCATGACGTCGGCTGGTGGGGCAATGCCGAGGCCTACGCCAAGGATATCATTGTGGTTAGCATTGGATCCGATCATTATTGCCAATAATTTATTGGTTTCCATTATATTTATGAAATATTAAACAAGTTATTACTTTGACCACTAATTTAGGACTTTAATCACTTGACTGCGGGATACGCCGGTTGGAATATGGTGTTGAACATGACAGGAGGACCAAGGTGGAATGGGGGCAACGCCGATGCACCCATAGCTGTGGACGCCTCGAAGCACGAGTACTACAAACAGCCCTCATTCTACAGTATGGGTCAGTTCAGCAAATTCTTAGCACCAGATTCCGTGAAGATTGGTATCCATGAAGACAAAGCCCTGACCCATGTGTTCAGTACTGCCTTTGAGAGACCCGACGGAGGGATTGTCGTCATTGTCTTCAATCAATC